TGTCTCAGAAAAAGGGGGGGGTGGAGACTTAGGACTGTAGCTCAGTTGCTAGAGTGCTTACCTAGCATACATGGAGTCCTGAATTTGATCTCAGCACCATACAAACCTGGCATGAGCTCACTTCCAGTACCAGCACTCAAGAGGTAGGAGCAAGAGGATCAGGTCATCCTCTACTTCATACCAAGTTCAAGGAGTGCTTCAATGACATGAGACTCTGTCTTGAAAAGATATGGAGGCGAAGATGGAGAGAGAGGTGGAGGTGGAGGTCAAAGAGGGGATGGAGGAGGGATGGGGAGGGAGGAGGATGGAGGTGGAGGCAGAAGTGGAGATGGAAAGAGAGATGTGGATGGAGGCAAAGATCAGACAGAGACAGCACTGAAGGCAGAGGTGGGGCCAGGCTGGGCCTGTGGGTGGATGGAAATTCAGATGGAAGCAGAGAGGGAGTTAAGATGGAGGTGAGGACGAAGATGCATGGAGACAGGAAAAGAAGTGAGGATGGAGGTTGGGATGGAAATTTATTGAGGGAGATCAAGGGTGAAAGGACACTGACAATGAGCCTAGGAAGCAGGGGTCTGTCTAGGACAGAGGGCTGGGCCTAGTCAAGGGAAGGGAAGGAGAAGGGACACAGCGACAGAGTGGAGACAGCTTTCTGGCTGCACTCAGCCTTCCAAGGGGCGACAGGGGGCATAATGTAGAGTGACATTCTCCCAGGGCACGGTGCCTGGGAGATGCTGGTGGGCAAGTGTCCACTGATGCTGGCAGCTCCTATGTGTCATCATCCATACAACCGTTGTGGTCTTATGAGCTCGACTATCTGTTCACACATGCTCAGAAATGCTGGTGGGGGAGGGGGAAAGGGATGGAGCACAGCTCCCATGCTCTGCATGGATCAGATGCAGGGCTCTAGAACAAGATGTATCTGTATGTATAGGAGTGTGTGTGCATTTGTGTATGTGCATAAGTGTATGCGTGTGTTCATGAGTTTGTGTGCCACTGTGTATGTGCATGAGTATATGTATGTGTGTGAGTTCATGAGTGTGTCTGCCATTGTGTGTGCATGATTATGTGTACATCTGCGTGTGCATGAGTGTGGGTATGTGTTCATGAGTGTGTGTGTGCGCACTGCTGTGTGTGTATCTGTGCATGTGCATGAGTATATTGTGTGAGTGTGTGCATGAGTGTGTGTGCATCTGTGTGTGTGCATGAGTGTGTGTGTGCCTCTGTATGTGTGCGTGAGTGTGTGTGCCTCTCCCCAACCACCTTGCAATGTTTTTTTTTTTAAAGCTTAGGCCTTTGAAATTTGGTTTGCTCTTTACACTTCCAGCACTTGGAGCTTGAACACGCACCATTTGGGGTGCTTGAATGCTACAGGGTTTGGGTGACTGCTGTGGTCAAGCGTGCACACATCAAGCACTTCATGGTCTCCTTGCTAAACTACATACAAGCAGAGACCATGCCAGCCTAAAACAAAGAAAACTAGCGGGGGGGGGGGGTAGCTGCCAGCAAGGGCAGTTATCGCTATTATTGAGGATACTTCCTACGTATTTTTGCATGTTCTATTTATTGAATCTCCACAAGGCTCCCTCCATTTTGCAGGCAAGCAAACACAGGGAGAAAGTTTAGGTCACCTGCCCAAGGTCACACAGCTGACAGGTATTATGGCTGGTCTCTGAATCTTGAGTGCTCTGGAGCCCACAGCCTCGAGTGCTCTGGTCTGGAATCCACAGCCCATCATAACACCCTTCTTTCTAATGAGGCAGGGATGCGTGTGTATTTCTGGGGTAGAGCACTTGGCCGGCCTGCAGGGGGCTCCAGATTCCTTCACGAGCCTGGCAAAAATGAAGTGGAGCCAGCAGCACTCATTAACACGACTGGTGGGCGTGTCAGGGGCCCTAGAGTCACGTCTCATTTACTGCTTGAGCAGTTCTGTCAGGCATGGTCTCCTCAGTGTGACCTCAGCAAAGTTGGCTGTGGCGGTGTGAATGAGACCGGCCATCACTGACCCATGTTTGAATCCTTGGTCCCTAGTTAGTGGAACTGTTCAGGAAGGATTAGGAGGTGTGGCTTTGTTGGAGGAGGTGTGTCACTGGGGGTGGACTGTGAGGTTTCAAATGCCTCCTGTTATTCCCAGTGTGCTCCCTGCCTCCAGCTTAGGCTTTGAGATGTGAGCTCTCCACTGTTCCTGCCACCACACCTTTGCTCCGCCTTCATGGACTCAAACCCTCTAGAACCATAAGCTCGGTTAATACCTTCTTTTATCAGTTGTCTTGGTCATGGCGTTTTACCTCAGCAACAGAGAATTAGCTGATCCAGGGACACAGGGGAAGGGGTGATTTTGGAGGGTCACCTTCCCTTTCTGGTGCTGCAGCATTCTGGAGGGTGAACTTTAACCAGCACAGCTTGTAGGTAAAGATGAGAACGAAGCTGGGAGGTGATGATAACGGTGGAGGTAGGGGTGGTGATGGAAACGGGGCCGAAGATGGAGATGGTGGCTAATGGAGGTACAGATGGAGGTGCAAGAAGAAGAGGGGGTAGGATATGTCAGAGGGACACTAAAGGTGGCAGGAACCACAGACAGTGAGCTCAGGGGACAGTATTTCAGACTGAACTCTGACTGGAGAATCCTTGGCTTTGGGGCAACAGAACTAGAAGCAACTCCCTAGAAAACTGGACCACCAGGCTTCTGGAGATGCTGCAAAGTCAGGGAATGAGAACTCTCAGCAACTGGGGTTTGCATTTGGGCAAAGGGGTACTGCAGACGCCAGCCCCTTTGAAGGCTGGGTTAGCTGCCCGAGAATCTGGACTCCGGGTCAGGCATTGATGGTGTTCAGTTTTAGTCTCAGCACACAGAGGCAGAGGCAGGTAGATCACTAAGCATTCAAGGCTAACCTGGTCTACATAGACAGTTCTCACTCAGCCAAGGCTTCATAAGAAGACCTTGTCTAAAACAATCAGAGAGTCTAAGCTGCAGGGCCAGGTTGCCGCCATTCAGATCTCGGCTCTACCTCACACTGACTACATAAGCTGGGGTCTCTTCACACATCTCACGGTTTCCCGTCTGTAGAAGGGGGAATAGCGCCACCTCCAACCCTCAGGCCAACGGTGAGGCTGAGGAGTGGGCTCACGGAAGCTGGCTCTCGCTGATTCTTGCTGTACGAGCGGGTTTTCAGTGCCGTTCTGTAAAAGTTACACTGCGGAGTTTGCAACTTCTGGGTAATTGAAGTGTTCTGGTGTGCGCTTCCGTTCCCCGAATTCCTACCCCACTTACCATCTGTTTGGAGCCTCTTCCAACTTAATTACAATTCTCCATCTATTGTTCTCGCAAGCTCCCCGCTCGCTTCCCTTCTCTTGCCCCCAGCATGTGTGGCTGCCTGAATGAAATGATGCCTCATACCTGGCTCCGTCTCACTGGGCCCTGAAACCGAGCGGCCCCATGCTTGCCACCCTCACCCACCAATGGGCTTCTCTGCACTCTGTCTGCCTCCTGGCTGGATGCCGGCAATGGGCCCCTGGCACCAAGCTCCACACCTGGCGGGTGTCAGGAAATGCTTGCTGAACTTAATTAAACTCAACTGGGGTGAAAAGCCCCTGCAGGAAGGCAAGGTCTCCAGCCTCTCTCGTTGTATGCTGCATGCCGCCCCCTGCCCCACTAATCAGTGTGCACAGGCCCAAGGCCAGGGAAGCAAGAATGGAAAGCCGGCCCCAAGCAGAGTTCAAAGATGATGCCTCTGGTAGATGCCAAGGAGGTCGGGAAATCACAGGGAGAACTATCTTAAGGCTGAATTCCCGGCATAGAGCCTTGCTGTTCCCCTAGCTCAAGTTCAGACTCAGGACCACATCTACTGAGCGCTGTTCCCAAGTAGCAAAGTGGCGGTCAGAGGCTCACAGTGTGGGAATGTACCCAAGACATAAGGGTGGTGGACCGGGATGTGGGCAAGGGGAAGAAGGGGAGCAGGTGAGAAGGAGGCTGCTAGCCACACTCAGCCGGGTTCCAGGAAGGGAGAGAGAAGCCCCCCAGCTTGGGGTGACTCTCAATCACTTGCTTAGCTCATTCCCAGCCCATGAATGGAGGCTACGCCATTGTCCTGTTCAGCCAAAACCCTTCCTGTGCTTTCCGTTTCTTCAAAATGAAGTTGTTACAGTGTCCCTGCTTTCAAAACTTTCAGTGGCTCACCACTACTCTCAGCCAAGAGAGGAAAGAAAGAACTGGGTGAGCTGGTCACACAGCTTCCTGGCATTGGAAGCAGAGGAAGAAGGGATGGAGGCCTTGATCTACAGCAGTTGCTGATGTCATGGTATAAAGACACCCACAGGGAGTGGGCAATGGTGGCGCACGCCTTCAATCCCAACATTTGGGAGGCAGAGGCAGGCAGATCCCTGTGAGTTCGAGGCCAGCCTGGTCCACAGAGTGAATTCCAGGACAGCCAAGACTGTTACACAGAAAAACCCTGTCTCGGAAAATCTAAATAAATAAATAAATATAAATAATACCCACGGGGACCTGTTTCAAGTTGGTAACAGTTCAACAGCTGGTTCACAAATTCCTGAAAATACCATAGGCGTCTGCACAGGTTGGAGCTGGTTCCAGGCAATGAGCAAGCTGTCACTCACCTGGCCCTCCACTCCAGTCCACCACTAGGCCTTTGCATGTGTTTATTCTGTCTTCCTGCAAACAGTTGCTTCCTTGAATCACAGGACAGGGTGGTTTCTCTGGCAGTGACTCCCCGGACCTCTTCACTGGGGCAGGTCCCCTGCTGTACTAGGATGCCATCTCTAGGATACGTCCTACCACGCCAATCTTCATGACCTCTTGAGTGCTCTGTATTTCTTCCATTGGGCCTAAAGTTCTAGGAAGCAGGGCCCTGCTCTGTGTCCCCAGCGAGAGTCGCCACGCTTGCTGTCGTCAGCCCCGCAGCAGCCCCTTCCTTTTGTGGTGCCTAGCAGGACTCTTTCTGAGTCCCCCCAGCTGAGTCATAGTCTCCTATTCTTCCCTTTGGAAGCTCCTCCCACCTCCATCGAAGTTGTGGCTGCTGACACACCTGCCCCCTTCAGTCGGTACCAGGCCCAGAACTTCACTCTGGTCTGCATCGTGTCAGGAGGGAAGCCAGCGCCCATGGTAAGTGCTTGGGGCCCAAGTCCTCAGTTGGCCAAGACTCCTGCTCCCTGAGACCTCTTCGGGTACCACTTCTGTCCACAGACAGGAAGCGGTCTGCTCAGCACCTCTCTCATACCCTCTGCCCCATCCTGCAATTCTGGGTCTTCACAATAAGGATCTTCCAGGAGGGCCCACCACCCAGTACACTCTGAGTACCCTAGATTTTTGAGGGGGATAGGAAACAATGAATGGTGTCATAGGGGGATGGGGAACAATGAATGGGGTCCAGAGGGGGGAAGGAACTTCTTCATAATCTCCCTGATTTTCCATAGAGATGGGTTCCAAGTTCATGTTCTCACCTTGACTCACCGCTCCTCCCAAACCTCCATGGGGTTTAGAAAGCCCCCCAAAAGGAAGAGAGGAAAGGGGAATGGAGAGAGAGAGAAGGGGGCAGGAGAAAAGACAGAGTGGGGTTTTCTCAGTCATGCAGAAGGGTGAGCACCCATGAACTCCTCCTCATCTGAGCATGCTTGTGGGCACACCAGTCAATCCTCAGGACTGATCCTAAGCAGGGTTCCCCCTCCCCGTCTTAGTTTGGATACAAGCCCGAGGAGTTTACTTAAAGAAACCTCATGTGGCCAACTTCTAATGTGAGGACATGAAACCCTCAAAGGTCACTGGGGCATCTCTGTGCACCCTGCCCAGAATCTTGGAGCTACATTTGGAGGAAATTTTACCCTGGGCATTTTAGAACGCTCTAATCCTCTACCCAGTGAGATTCACATGTTCCTTGGATTTAATGGGGTGGGGATGGGGAACAGATAGGGCTGGAGCAATGAGGACCTGCAGTTAGAATCCAGATGGAGAGGTAAGTGACCTCCTCCTTCCCAATATGACCATTTCTCATGTGCTGGCCAGTGGTAGGACCTGAGGATCTGACTAGCCCCTCTCAGAACCTGAGATGCCAGAGCCAGCTGCAGGATAGGGGAGTGGCTATGTGTAGAGAGGCTCCGTGGGGAGGGTGCAGGAGTACAGATGGGGGCAGGGATCAGGGGTACCGAGACATGGGGGCCTGGGGTGAGGGTACAGGACACAGAGGTCAGTGATATAAGACATGGAGGTCAGAGGTCAGGGGTGCAGAGACATAGGGGTCTGGGGTAAGGGTATATGGCACTGGGGATGGGGTTTAAGACATGGAAGTCAGGGGCCAAGGGTGCCGAGACACAGAGTTATAGCCATGAGATCACTAGTGAGTCATGGAGGCATCGTGGCCAGAGCTCAGTGGGCAGGTTTTGAGTCACGCTGCAGTCCCAAGCAAGCAGATGACAAAGGTGGCCTCAGAGCCACAGAAGGCTGAGGTCACAGTTCACGAGTCTCCCCAAGTCTCCCCATTAGAACCCACAAGGATTCCAGTCTCCCCCAAATCAGGAAGGCTGGTCTTTCCTCTAGAAAAAGGAGGACCAGAGGGGAGGGTTTCCTGGCCCTGGAGCTATGGGAGAGCAGCCCTTTCCCATCTCTCCACCTGGCTATCACTTCAGACAGTAACAAACGCCCCCTCTTTCGCTCTGTTCTTCCTGGCCTCTCCTCCCTTCTCATTCTCTTTCCTCCCCCTCTCTGTCTATAATGAGAGATCCTCATTCCCTGACATTCCTGTCTGGAGCAGCAGAACTTGAAAGCAATTCTTTGATATAAATTACAAACCTACTTTTGAAGCACTTTTCAGAAAAACAGCGAGAAGAAAAGCAAAGAAAGGGGAAGGAAAAAAAAAAACCAAACCCCCAAAGTGGACCATTGTGTGCAGATTTTTCAGTGGGGTTTTAAACTCTGACAGGTCCTCCACACCCGCATAGCACCCCTACCTACTCCCCAGCCCCTCCCCTACCTACCCATCCCCAGGCTTCTCCTCTCACACCCACAGAGTCCCTGGAGTCCCTGATCGTGACATGGCGCCTCCTGTTCTCTCTCCCTGTCTCCTATTGATTTATTTATAATGATTTATTAAAAAAATACACCCAATCCCCGAAGGCCTCTGGGTGCATGTACCAAAATAAGAAGACAGCAAATTAAATTAAATGCCTCCTCTCAAAACTTGAATTCCCTATTAGAAGAGAAAGGGAGACTACGGCTTCCTCGCCTCACGCCCCACACCTAGCTCTCTCCCACACAGGTACCTGCTTTCTGCATAGCAGCATAGCAGTTCTAAGTTGCCAAAGTGTGTGAGCAGGCAGAACACACACACACACACACACACCTTTTCCTGTTTTCCTTGTCTCATCGCTCATTCCTTCCTCATCCTCATGCCCCCGGGGCAGCCATGGACCATGCTGGAGCCCAGGTGGTAGCTAAGTGGCATCTAAAACCAACCTCCCCATGTGACTTCATTTAAGGCCCCAATTGTTCCCTGGAGTCAATCGTCTTATTTCTCTTTACAAATGGGGAAACTGAGGCTAAAAGGCTCCCCCCCCCCAGCTTGTCAGTAATGGTATTAGGCTGAGCCATCTCTCTCCAGCCCTGTGTGTATTCCCATCATGCCTTAGCTCTCCAGGGGAGGAGTGAGGGAGAAGAACCGGAATGAAGAACAGGAATGGGAGGCCCAGGCTCTTCTGAGAGTCCATTCGGAGAGGAAACCATCAATTCATTATCCCTTCCCTTGTCCTGCCTGCAACTATAGGTTTATTTCAAACGGGATGGGGAGCTGATCGATGCAGTACCCCTGTCAGAATTGCCGGCAGCCAGCTCCGGCCCCCTCCAGGACAGCAGGCCCTTCCGCGGTCTTCTGCATCGAGATGTGGACGACACCAAAATGCAAAAGTCACTGTCCCTCCTAGACACGGAATACCGGGCTGGACGTCCCTACACGGAGCGCCCCTCACGCACTCTCACCCAGGACCCCAGCCTTTTCGTGCAGCCCACCACGGAAAACATCCCAGAGACAGTAGTGAGCCGCGAGTTCCCCCGTTGGGTACACAGCGCAGAACCCGTCTACTTCCTGCGCCACAGCCGCACCCCAGGCAGCGATGGCACGGTGGAGGTGCGGGCCCTGCTCACCTGGACCCTCAACCCGCAGATCGACAATGAGGCCCTCTTCAGCTGTGAGGTCAAACACCCAGCGCTGTCCATGCCCATGCAGGCGGAGGTCACGCTAGGTAAGACTTAGACATAAAGGATATCCAGGACTCACTCCCGCGGTGAATGGGAGAGCCTGGGCTAGCCTTTGTTTGTACCTAGACTGCCCTCGGTCTCTGTTTTCTGGCCTGAAACAGGTCCGCAACCACCGTGTAACCCCATACTAGGAGCCCAGCTTGAATCCCTGCAGTACCCTGGATGGCCACTGAGGGCGCTGTCCTTACTCCTATCCTTTAGCTGATGGACCTGGGTTTTCCATGACTTTGGTGAGTTAGTTGGGGCTTTTTATTACACCCCCAGAGTCCACTTCCTTAATCACTGCCTTAGTGTAACCTACCTAGGATTGTGGTCAAGGGAACAATGAGTCATGAGTGTGGCCTGGCAGAATGAAGGCCCCAGTACTCTAAGAAAGGCTATGAAGTGAACAAAGCGGTAATTGGGGCACAGAATCCAAACAACACCCAGCAGGGATTTTGACGAGCAGGTTGGGCTTGTCTTCTGCAGTAGGCCTTCCTCTCACCTGCATTCCCTTTCCAGGGATGCCTCCAGGAAGCCTGCTTGGGTCTCCCTGGTCCCTCCAGTTGGCTGCTTCTCTTTCAAGGCTCTCTCCCTGGGTTTGTGACTCTCTGGTGAGCAGCCTTGCAAGCCATCTCAGTATGAAAATACTTTCTTCCCATTGGTCAGGGCTACTCACTTTCCCACGGTCTCCTCATGTCCGGGTCACCACCCGCCAGGCCACGAGGCTTCAGAATGCTTCCCAGACCTGCCCTGTTCGTCCTTTTCTCGTGACCACCCACCCAAGCACTGTGCACCCACCCCTGGACTGCAGCATAGCCTCCAAACTGTCTCTCTGCTTCTGGCTTTTGTTTTGTTTCGATTTTGGTTGTTTGCCTTATACTACTCTTCATCCCTACTGATCTAGTTAAAAAAAAAAATAAATCAGCTCAAAACCTAGGTAAGAGCTGCCCAGACCCTCCGGTGTAGACTCTAGGCTGATGCAGAGAAGAGAGCCCAGAAATAGACCTGCGGGCAAAGTCGATTGATTTTGACGGAGACCCCCGAGGCTGTTCGGACAGTAAAGATGAGTTCTCTAGCACATGGCCCTGGAACAAGAGAACATGAGAAAGGGAGGGGCGGGCCTGGCCCCTGCCTGGCACGCACACAGGTTAACCTGAGGATGATTGATAGACTCCAGTGTAAAAGCCAGTGCCATGAAACTTCTGGAACAAAATGGAGAAAAATGTTTTATGGAGCCGAGGTAGCCAACATCCCTTAAAGCAATCGTAAAAAATGAAAACACTAGAGGAAAAATTGAAAATTGTTTGATGGGACTGAATCAAAATTCAAATCTTTGGCTCATAAGAAAACATCCCCAAAAGAATGCAGAACAAGGGGAAATTCTCTCAGTCCTCTGTGAAACATTGGTACCCAGGATGCGTAAAACAAAAACCTAAGCCAGGCAAGGCGGTGCCAGCCTGTTATCCTGGCATTTAGGAGGTGGGGCAGGAGGATCAGAAGTTCAGGGTCATCCTTAGCTATGTGAGTAGCTTGAGGTCAGTCTGGGCTACACAAGACATGTCTCAAAACAATATTAGAAACAATAAAAAGAGAAAATCTTATAAAACCAAAAGGCACCAGTAGATACATGAGAGAACCAGGATTTGTTTTCAGTAATGGAGATCAAACCCAGGGCCTAACGTGCGCCGGATATGTGCTCGGCCACTGACTAAGCCTCATCCCCAGCCCATGACATCTGGCTTTTAAAGTCCCCTATAGACATATTAAAACACTGACTCATCAGGGAAATGGAGACTACAGCTTCAATGAGATAGCATGTGTTACTGGATTTGGGTAAACTTTTAAAAATTGCCAATACCAAATGCTGATAAGGCTGCAGAACCATCAGAACACTCCTACATCATTCATGGAGTATAAAATGGTACTGATCCTTCGAAAATCCAAATATTCAAATCCAAATATCATATTCAAACATGATAAACACCTTACTCCCAAGACCCAACAATTGCATATGGAGGGATGGTTGAGTAGATGGATAGATGGATGGATGGATTAGGAAGATAGGTGGATGGATGGGTGGATGGATATATTGAGAAGGTGGATGGGTAAATGGATGGATTGTAAGGTTGGATGGATTGATTGGACTGAATTTATGAATAGGCATAGAGGAAGGAAGGAACGAGAGGAAGGATAGATAGATGGATGGATATGCTATATGGATAGATGAATGGACAGAGAGGTTGGATGGATGCATAAATGGATGAGTAAGTGGAAAGGTGGGTAGTTGGTTGAGTGGGTAGATGATGGATGCATAGATGGGTAGATATGATGGATAGATGAATAAATGAATGAAGTGTACATAGATGGATGGATGAATTAATGATAGTTGGGTAGATGATGGATAATTGGGTAGATGTAGATGATTAGGTAGATGGGGGATGGTTGGGTAGATGGTAGATGGTTGAGTAGATTGTGGATGGTTGGGTACATGGTGAATGGTTGGATAGATGTAGATGATTGAGTTTATGGGGGATAGTTGGGTAGATGGTTGGATGGATGGATGGATGGTTGGGTAGATTGTAGATGGTTGGGTACAAGGGGGGTGGTTGGGTAGATGGTGGATGATTGGGTAGATGGTGGATGGTTTGGTAGACTGTTGGATAGATGGTAGATGTTTGGGGAGATAGATGGATGGTTGGGTACATGGTGGATGTTTGGGTAGATGGTGGATGGTTGGGTAGATGGATGGATGGTTGGGTAGATTGTACATGGTTGGGTACAAAGTGGATGGTTGGGTAGATGATGGATGGTTGGGTAGATGGTGGATGGTTTGGGTAGATGGTAGATGGTTTGGTAGACTGTTGGGTAGATGGTAGATGTTTGGGGAGATAGATGGATGGTTGGGTACATGGTGGATGTTTGGGTAGATTGTGGATAGTTGTGTCATTTGTGAATGGTTGGGTAGATGGTGGATGGTTGGGTAGATGGTAGATGGTGGATGGTTGGATACACAGAAGGGAGAACTGAGTAGATGGAACATGGTTAGGTAGATGTACAAGTGACTGTCTTAATGGGAATCTGGAATTCCATGGAAGTCTGAGAGGAGCCTTTTCTTGAGTCCACACACGCCATCCTCACAGACAGCAAGATCCCACAGGTGGGGGTATAATGGGAATTTCTGCATTCCTTTGAGCCAGGATTTCACTCTGTGGCCTAATCCCTCTCCCCATTGTCATTTTCAGAGTTTCTCTTAGGCAGGTGATGAATAGGTGAACAGACAGAGCTGGCACTCCACACCACAGCCTGAGAGGGCCTGGGCTCTCATTCTGTTCTCTAGCTGGGGTGAGAGAAGCGAACCCCAAAACTGCTGACACACCTCTGCTTGGAACTCTGGGTTATGCTCTCAAAGCAGGCAGGGGACCAGGCATTTCTTGTCAGGAGCTGCAAATGGACTTCCTGGTGGTGGTGGGATGGGATGGTGCAAGCTGCTGGCAAGGGGCGCCCAGAAAGCCCTGACAGGGGTGAGCGGGAACTCCAAGATATGCGCAAGCATCCCTGTTCAGGGGAGCTCAAAGGGACAAGAGTGTAGCAGACCCCTTCCTGGCCACCCTATGTGCTCCTCAGGGTCAACTTCACATAGGAGCCACTAGAAACAGCACAGAGCAGCCTAGAAGGCTGTGTGACCTGCTGCCTAGTTGCCCTGGACTCTTGAGCCTCTCCTGAAACACTTGACCTCCAAGCCCTGCCTTCTGCTCCAAGCCCTTCCACTCCCTCTGCTGGTTGACACGGGCAGTGACGCAGACCACCCCGGGTCATACCATCCCCAGGGTTTCCCATCTGCAAACCTACCTCCTCCACAGCACCCAAGAGAAACTGGAGGAGGCAAGAATGTTCCTTAGCCTCTGTGCCTTCCTGGGCTTGCAGGACAATCTCTAAAGGCTGGAAGGTGAAAAGAAACCAAACATGAAGTATTGAATCGAAAGACGTCGGACAAAAGTCATAGAGGGATGGCTGATAGCTCAGAGGTGAAGTTTTGGGGGATGGCTCAGAGGCGGAGCCTTTCCACCCCCAAGTCTGCCATCTGCCAGAATAGACTAGAACTTCTCCAGTGTCCCCGGCCAGAGCTGCTTCCATGCAACTGGCAGGTGGATGCAGCAGCAGCAGCGGAAGCATCCTCTCCTCCCCTCACCAGGCTGCCCTCCCTCTCAGCAGGCCGGGCCCTTCCCTCTGCCCAGGCAGTCCTTCAGATGTCTTCCCTGTGGTTAATTAGTGGTTCCTTGGCCTTATTCTCCGAGAGCGAGATTGGCAGAGCCTGGAGCTTGCTCACATCTGCCTGCTGCTCTGATTTCCATTGTGAGCTAAGTGGGGACAGCCCTGGAAATTCTGTGGAGTCTGTCCCCAGCCCCGCCAGCTCTCTGGATGACCGTGTCCTCCATGCTTCCTCTGCTTGGAACCTTCCTCGTTCACCTCATTTTTCTGAGACACTGTGACTACCACACCCCCCACCAACACAAACACACACACACACACACACACACGAGCTGTGTACCACCTCCACTGGCACCCTGCACACACCACAGGTCATAGTTTGGCTGAGTCTGTTTGCAAATTAAATACCTCCCCCGCTAATGGATAAGTTGCAGACACTTGACTTTAATCATTGTCCCCTTTACTAGTCCCTAGCCCTGCTCCAAAGCCTGACATATGGCCAGCTCAGTAATTACTATTGAATGAGTGAACAAATGAATTAATGAGGGCGGGGAGTCAGGAAACATGTGTAATTGACTCTGCAGGGACCTCGGACAAGCCTCTTTATTATGCATGGGCCCGCCCCCCCCCCCGAAAAGAAGAGAAGCCCAGCCAGTCGCCCTCCCACAGGCGAGGGGTACCCAGGGCATCCTGTCTCCTCAGCACATACAAAGCCGCTGAGGAAGACTGGACTGGGCCCGACAGGACCAGAGGCAGGGAGAACAAAGGCTGGCTAGGGAGTGAGGTGGCAGCTTCACACAGTCCACGCACCCCCACCCAGAGATTCTGGGAAATCCCCTGGCAGTAGGATTCTGGATCAGGATCTTGGAGGTCCTGCTTCTTCCTCACTGGGTGACCTTTGGCAAATCACAGTGAACTCCCTGGGCCTCCGTGAACTCAGCTGGACAGAGGGGACAATGATGGATGGATGTCGTTATCTTTCTCCCCCACTGACGTGTGAGACCCACAAACTCAGGGACCCATGTGTTCCTGTGTGTCACTGAATCCCCAGATCCCAGTTGGGGTGGGGCACAAAAGAGGGCTGTAGGAAATATGGAGAGAGGCACCCACGACGGTTTGGGGAGGGGGATGAGTGAGCCTCCTTGGAGCTCCTGAGAAGCAGCCAGTGTCTAGAACACCAACCTCTGAAACTTGCTCTGCTTCCTGGCCCACTCCACTCTCCATGCTGAGCACACCCACCCACCACCCCTCTTTCTCTTGATACAGTTGCTCCCAAAGGACCCAAAATTGTGATGACGCCCAGCAGAGCCCGGGTTGGGGACACAGTGAGGATTCTAGTCCACGGATTTCAGGTCAGCCTCTCTATGGATAGCTGAGTGGAGTGGAGGGTGGGTAGAGACATCCAATGGGGACCAGCATTCCTGGCTTACTCTCCTATACCCACAAGCAAATGCAGTTCGCATCAATCTTCAGTCTTCACGTTTACTCTAGCCCCAACCCCTGAGAGTCCTCCCCACCTAGTCTCCTATTGGACAGGCTGTTTTCAATTTCCCTATTAAGCTGAGGATGATCTTGATCTTCTAACCCTCCTCCCGCCCCCTCTTCTGTGCTAGGATTATCAGCATGACAGTTTATCAGATGCTGGGGATGGAACCCAGGGCTTTGTGTGTGCGAGGCAAGCATGCTACCACCTCAGCTACACCCCCAGCCTCGTTCCCGGGGTTCTAAGGTGCTACCTGAAGCCTATTGGATGAGAATCGGGGCCTGGAAAGCCTCTGGCCTTCCTGTGTTGGCAGCGTGCGCCCCTGATGACTCCACTGTTTCCTGCTCTGACCCACAGAATGAGGTCTTCCCAGAACCCATGTTCACATGGACGAGAGTGGGCAGCCGCCTCCTGGATGGCAGCGCTGAGTTTGACGGGAAGGAACTGGTGCTGGAGAGAGTTCCTGCTGAGCTCAATGGCTCCATGTATCGCTGCACCGCTCAGAATCCACTGGGCTCCACCGATACACATACTCGGCTCATCGTGTTTGGTAGGGACCCCACAGGACCACCCAAGGATAGGGCTGGGCTCAAAGTCATCCTCAAAAGCCCCTTAAATTTGCCTCAGTGAGATAATTCCATTCACTGATTCTAATTGCAACAACTTTAGCATCAGAGAGACTTTAGGTTCGCATCTCGGCTCTGCCACTTAGCAGGCCTCATTTCCCCATCTGTAACATGGTCAGCTCTGGAGAGACTGAGGGGGAGCACCATCCCAGGGAGTGGGAGCACCATCCCAGTGCATGCAATGCCACATAGCGGGTACCTGGGGAAGGTCCTCCACGCTCAGAACTCAGCGCCACCCATTCTGCTTCTCTCTGCTTCTTTCTGACAGAAAACCCAAATATCCCAAGAGGAACAGAGGACTCCCGTGGTAAGTCTCCACCCTCAAGACTGCACCCTTAAAAGAGAGTGCTTTTCAAAGCATCTGTTGCTAAAGCCAACGTGTCTCCCCTGGTCCCTCCTTTCCTTCAGGAAGCCATCACCTCAGACAGGCAGGTCAAGGTTAGGCAAAGGCAGGCCCTAAGCAAGGAAGGCACTATACCCCCAAACAGCTAATGGGATAGCAGGGGTCAAGTGTGTCCCCTCTCATTGCTACCCAGACCCCAAGAAGCCGTGTTTGGTGCTGACCATGGTGTGGGTCTCTGACAACTCCATGGGACACTTAAGAATATAGAAGGGTGCCCCAGGCTGTTCCTTCAGCCACCCAACCTAGAACCACCCATGGGGTGCAGACACTAATCATACACAGTGAATCTCACAATTCTCAATGAAGCATCCCTTTCCTGGTGCCCACTGGGCCATCCTGATGGCCTCAGCCCAGCAGGCCTGCATGGGGAACAGGGCACTGGACTCATGGCAGCCTGCAGAGCTGAGGTTTGATCACCCGATGCTGCATCTTTGTTGGGAACCATTTTTCAACATCTGTTGAAACCCCCCATATTCACACCAATAGGCCCCCTGTAACACGCAGGCAGGCTGCAGCCGTGACACCACCTCTGCCCTCTCACAGGTTCTGCTTCTGGCCTCGCTGGCGTCCGGCTCACCCTGGTGCTTGCCCTGACAGTGGTCCTGGAGCTCACGTGAAGATGCCGCCTCCTCCTGACGCTCCAGTGGCCCGGCATCTCTGCGATCGATTTTCATTTCTTTTCTAAACTATTTCCAGTCTTGTTCTTAGTCTTTGCCCATGTCTTGGCTTCTTCACTGGGTTTAATTAAAACAAACGGACCAATTTTCCCCACCTTGGTGTGTGGCTCTGTCTTTCCTTAGTCTAGTAGTAGCTTACTGGGTACCCCCTGGCATCCAGTCTTGGGACAGGCATAGAGATAGAATGGCAAAGGAAATGGAAAGTTTGCACTCCTCTGAGGATGGGTGGACATGCAGCTCCTGTCTTATTCAGGCTTTTAAAAAGCCAGGTGTGGGAAATGGCTGTAGAAAATGTAACAGTCAGCTGTAGCCACAACAGTGCTGCCTAACAAGTCAACCCACGTCTTGGTAACAGACAACAGCTGGCATGGATACTTACTTATAGATAGCAGTGGTCCAGATGTCCTCATCCAGGCTCACTAGATAGCTTAGCTTCAGACAGCAGACCCTCCCCTCACTGCCTGCATAACCCCTGCTGCAGGCTACACTCCAGGCTGGCCTCTGGTCTCCACTATGGAGTTATGAAATTCCTTGTGTGTTTATCCTGGAGCTGGAGCTAAGGGCACAGCATCTACCTGACATCTGATCCTCTTTCCATGTGTATCAGTCAGCTTTCAATCACTGTAACAAAGCAGCTGAGATAATTTACCTATCAAGGGGAAAGGTTTCTTCGGGCTCTCAGTTCTGAAGATGCAAGCCTATAACCTGGTAGCCACATGACTTTGGGTCTCTCATGAGATCATGAGATCATACGTCATGGCAAGGGGCTATGGAGCTGCAGAGGCAATCCACTGGGATGCAGGGGTCAGGCGGAGAGGAGAAGGAAGAAACCAGGTCCCACATCCCCTCTGAGAACACATCCCACTTGTTGGCAGCCCCTCCACCTCCCAATAGGGCCATCCTAGGACCAGACCTAATTAGAACGTGGCAGAATCATCAGAATGTGAGGAAAACCTAAGCCTCTGCCTGGCTCATTGTGAACCCTGGTTGAGCCTAAGCACATCCCATGGCCAACGGAGAGAAGAGGTTGAGCCCACCCCAGGACCTGAGAGGCACCACGAAGATGATGGAAGATGGGGCATATCAGAAGCGGTAGGGTGACATGGGTTAGGGTGGGATGAAGTGGTATGGGATGGGCATGCTACAGTGAGCCTGAGTCTCACACCCTAAACACCCTGAAGATCTATCCGGAGCTCATGAACAGCCCAAGGCTGTTGAGTAACCTTCTCCCACCTCTAGTGAACACTAACACCCTTGCTCTATCGAGCATCCTGGATGAAAGAAGATGGCTCCAAGGCCACTGCCCCAAGCAGAATCATGAATCCCAAAGATGCCTATGCCCCGCCCCCAGCACATGAGCAGGGCTTGCTGATCTGGACTGGGTCTGATGGCTCGGAGCTGGATCTGCCTTTGGACCCTAAGAGCAGGGGGCTCTTTGGGGGTGGGCTGGCCCCCAGTGGCTTTGCCTAAGGTGACTCAGCTTTGTGCCTGGTGGTCTCTCAGGCTCCAAAAGGGTCAGCTCTGTGAGGGTGGAGGAACAAGAGAGCTGAAGCACACGGGTCTTGGGAGGCCCCAGGGAAACTGACACACCAACATTTCTATTGTATTCAAAATAAAACTAGAGCCCCCTTTGATGGGAGCTGAGAAGTCAATGGATATAGGGTCGAGAGCGGGGTAAGAGCAGTTGTGCAGGCTACAGCAGCCCTTAGTTCTGACTTGAAGTTTATGCTAGGCTTGGTGGTTGCAGGCCCACGATCCCAGCACTCAGGAGACTGGCTCTGCAGGACCAGGAGTTCAAGGCTATCCTCAGTTACATAGTAAATTTGTGGTTAGCCTCGGCTACATGAGACCCTATCTCAGAAAAGACCATCTGCCTTTGTATTTTACTTTCCATGTGTGTGCGTGTGTATGTATATTTGCACATATGCGTCCATGTGTGTTCATGTGCTCTCGTATGCGTGTGTGCAGGCTCACCCATGCCACAGTGATCCTGTAGAGGTCAGGAAAGAACGTCAGATGTGGGTCTTTGACTTCCACCTTGTTGAAGGCAAGACCTTTTTTCTTGTTTTCCTGCTTGGCTGGCCCAGAGCTTCGGGAGATTCTCCTGTGTGCTATGCCTGTAATCTCAGAGACTGCAGGCATTTACTACATGGTCGGCTTTTCATGAGCTCAGTGGTTTCAAACTCAGGTCCTCATGCTTATGTGGCTGGCCCTTTCACCCACTGAGCCACCTCCTCAACCCAACAGTCGGCCATTTACTTACTCACTTATTTAGATTTATTTACTTTTATGTGTCCGGGTGTTCTGCATGCCTGCCTGGTGCCCAAGGAAGCCAGAAGAAAGCATCAGATGCCCTGGAGCCAGAGTCACACACCCTGGTGAGCTGCCATGTGGGTGCTTGGAACTGAACCCGGGTTCTCTGCAAGAGGCTCAGCACTAGCAGCTCCCCCAAATCAGCCACTGAACTTGACATTCCAGAGTCTTGGCTTTCCTTGTGCCTTTTTTTGTCCTCATTTAAGCTCAAATTCTTCTGCCCACCGATTGGTGTTTGAAATACATTAGAAACAATGATTGATGTGGTAGATATTTACCTTCCCGAGTCTGGCCAGTCAGACAACAACAGTAGTGAAGTTGACAATTCTCTCAGACATCCATCTGTGTGCAAACATCCAAGATAGCTGAGCAGTCAACCGCCACACGGTACCGTCAGCCTCCTTCACCTACTTCCTTCTTCCTCGAAGTCCTGATTCGACTCACATGAACCAACCGACTGTCCCCCACCACCACTGCCACTGTCCAGCAATTCTATGTAAGGCCCCTACTTCCAGAGGTTTCTGTTTTCCAAAGAAATTTTAATACGTAGGTTTATTCTCTCTCCTTGCCTCCTTAGAGGGAAGGCCACGTAGGCGTGAAATTGGACTTGCTTCGCCCTATTAGCAGCAGGGTTGCTGGGCTCCACTGACCCCTGAAGTGCATCAATAGCTCAGTTGTGAGCAGATGAACCGTGGGAAGCATCAGTGGAGGACTTGGGGGCGGGGGGGAGCTAGCTGGGAGGCTCCAGGGCCGAGGCACCAGGGGTTGCCATCCGCTTTGGCTTTGTACAAGGACTGGTAGGCTGCTGTTTAGGGTGGGAAAGGGGAAGAAAAGGCCCAGCTCCAGCTGAGACTGTGCGTTCAGTCCCCCATGGGTGCCTTTATCTATCCCACAAACCCCAAGCCTCCCCAGTCAGGGCCTGGGCTGGACCAGAGAAGAAACCAGCCAGGTTGCGTAGGTTCTGCCATTAAGAAGCCCCATCCTTCAGAATGCTGGGCCCACTAGAAAGGCTGCACCCCATTTGCACTCCACCTTCTGTGCCATTGCTCCCTGGGAAGAGTAGAGTGAGAAGGGGACACCTACAGGGATGCAGTCCTGTGGGGGTGGCTTTGTCCTGAAGGATAAGAGGGGCAACAGAAGTCAGCCCTCCCCCTCCATGACGTGGCCTCACTTTGGCCCAGATACTTCAGCTGTGACCCACATGTGCAGGGGAGGAAAACCTCAGATTCCTGTTTTCTGTGCCCGAGTCCCCTTTGAAGCACGGAGAGTTCAGCTGGACTCGTAGCTGCTGCCACACCAGGTCCCAGTGAACCCATCCTTCCCCATTCACCAGCCACAGTTCCCTGAGGCCCCTGCTGCTCTCCTGCCCTGGGCTCCTGTCACCACAGATCCCCCGTGATCTTCGGGGGATTTCAAGTGTGTCCAGCAGGTGTAGGGATGGCTGCAGACGCATCTCTAAAGTCACACCTGAGAAGGGTAACCAAGCTTCCTTTTCTCTTCATCTCTGAGTTGGGCTCATGAACAAGTGCCACGAGTATGTGCAGCTGCCACAGTCACACATAGTGGGGGAGGTGCTTCTAGGCCAGCTGTCCATACTCAGCACCTGGGGTCCCCTCCCCACTGGAGCAAGAATTCGGGGACATTCGTGACCTGTATCCCTCTGTTGTCCCTTCCAGACCGGAGCCTGGAACTTAGTTTCTGGCTGCCTGCCTGCTGCACACCTGTGGCGGCTGTCCCTCCTCAGCCCAGGACAGCAGCCTCTGGACCCACAGGCCCACTGCGATTCAGAGTCACCTGCTCCATCACCCCAAGGCCCCTACACATAGGCGCCGCTGGCTTCTTTCATACTACCTAGGGCTTTTACTAGTCTTCTAAAGGTGACTGTGACCCTGGCTACAAACTCCACTCTGAGTTGCCTTGTCTGTGGGAGACACAGAGCAGTGAACAAGGCTCTAAGGACTCCACAAGACAGCCACATAGGACACCCCGTGATCCAGAAAAATCTGTGGGTTTCGTTAAGAGTCTATGTATACATAGCACAGAGGAAACAAAAACCAGGGTCCTTGGGATTTGGCTATGCCGTGGGAAATGACAAAGCTCGAACTTGGGCTTGGACATTTCCACTCAGGCAAGATGCTTAGGCCAGTGCTGGGAACACCTGCTTCCTGAGCCCAGACCTGCTGGTGGAACCTGAAGGGCAAGGGAGGTGGGTGAAGGCTGGCAAGAGAGTGAGGGGAAAATGAGGAACAGGCTGGGTGGGGATGTGGGAGAGGCAAAGATGGAGAGAGGATATCAGTCACCAAGGGGCTGTTGGGGCATCGTGAATCAGGCCGTCCTGGGTCAGTTACAGAGAGAGCTGGATTCTTGAACGCATGAGGAGTTTGGGAGAAAGGTGCCACCTGAGCTCCAGGGGACAGAGAGTACAGACCGATCAGCATTGAGGGAAGTGCCAAGAGAAATGGAGAAAGCAGGAGACAGAACTGAGACAAGGGACAGAGCTACAGAGATAGAGGGGCAGAGAGTGCCAGAGATAGGAGAGCACAGACTGGATGAAAAGGAGAGACTTGAGCAGCATGCATAACCAGCAACCCCGAGCTCCTGCCCCTGGGACATCTTCCACTGTGATGGTCTGTAACTCCGAATTTTGAGCTAAAATAAACTCTCTTTCCCTTAAATTGCTTTTGTCAGCGTATTTTATCACAGCAATGCAAAAATAAATAAATAAATAAATAAATAAATAAATAAATAAATAAATAAAAAGCAGAGACACAGGGAGATGCT